GCCCCCGCTGCCGCCCCCCGCCGCCGCCGCCGCCCCCAAGGCCCCGTCCCGGAGGTCCAGCACGGCCTCCGGGTCCGTCCCGCCAGTTAAACCCACCCGGAAGTCGAGCAGAGACTCGATTAGGAAACCCAGCATAGATGGGGCGGTCAAGGACGACCGCCCTCCCAGAAAGCCCAGCGCGGAGGACGCGGTGCGCCCCGAGGCGCCTCGCAAGCCCACCAAGCCCTCCACCCTGCTGCCCCCCGGCCGCAGCGCCGCCAGGTCCACGCGCTCCTCCAGCTCGGCCAGCTCCAAGGCGGAGAGCAAGGCGGGCGGCAGCACCTCGTCCAAGAGGTCCGGCGCCAAGTCCAAGTCCAAAGCGGAGAGGTCCACGTCCACGCTGGCCTTCCACTCGCCCACGGCCCACGACCTGCCCTCCTGCCCTCCATCCCTGCCCCCGTCCACCGCGCCGTCCCCCGCGCCCACCCCGGGCTCCAAGACGGGCTCGCTCTTCCCCGCGCCCAAGAAGCCGGCCCGTAAGACCACCGGAAGTAAGGCGACCGGAAGTAACGCGCTGCCCGCCCCGAGCACGTCATCGTACCGGAGGCGGTGCAGCTAAAGCGACGCGAAACCCCGCAAAAATGTACCAAAAAATACGACAAAAAACAACTGGGTCTTAAGAAAGGCTGCTAGTTATAAATTAAAACCACCGGGGTGATTGTTTTTGTGTTAAGTGTTTGTTATGTTGATTTCGGTGGGGCATAAGTTACCAACCTGTATATAGGATTTTGACTTAAGACAACACTTGGCGCGTAAAGGCGAGAGACTTGTTCAGTCCAGGCCCCTGGAAAAAAAGAGAATACACAAAGTCTCTCGGCTGTACGCGTATTTTGTATATAACTCTAGTGAAAGCGTCCTGACGTATTCTCCCAGAAGCACACAACTTAGTACAAAACTTTGGGAATATAAATGTCACGCTTTCAAAGAAAGATCGATTGAAAAAATATCTTTTTCAGAGTATGTTAATATTTATTGGATATATTAGTGATCCTCTCATATCTCAGACGAGTACTTAAGCCGTAGAGCTTTGTACCCTACATTGTTAAAAAAAAACAACTAATGGTAACCTTGAGAGGCAAACATAAAAAAGGGTTTTAGGAACCGTCCCAGACAGAAAGATTTTTTTTTGTATTTCCTATTTTTAGTGAAGTAACTAAATATTTTCGTATAGACTCTTGAATCCTGGATTGATGTAATAAGTGACGGTGCACACTATAAAACACGAAGTGAGTTAAGTTCACCCCCAGTCCCCCTCCATCAAGCTGCTTATTTGCGTAATTGCGGCATATTGTTGTGATAGTAAAGGAGTCCTACCGTTGATTTTTAAAAGGATGTTTTTTTTTTGTTTTGAAAAACGTAACTTCAAGCAAATATGATTGTCTATGACATTTTGCATCTGCTACTCGTAGTGCTAATCACGCGCCAGTGGTGGCACCCAGCTGCAAAGCAGGTCTGTAAAATTGTAATCCGCAGGTATTTTTGGTATGCGTTTCGGTGAGTGAAAAAGTAGGCATATTTAGCGGAGGATTCAGTTCAGTGGATCACACGCAAATAGGGTCTCTGCACCAAATCAGTAGCTTTTCGTTTTTTCTCATCAATTCGCCTCAGCTACTAGGATATAGCAAGTGCTTACGGATCATTTAAAAAAAAGCAGCAGCTGCGGTTTTTTTTTTTCATGAAAAATTGATAGTTAGATAGCGTTTTAACAAAAGAGGCCAGGGAAAAAGAAATAAAAGTGCAAACGGTTTTCAGCTGTGCGCTGCGTTGCGGAGGTTCACATCGTCTGCGCGGAGGCGGCGCCGCCGGCGGTCCACGAGCAGACCCCGCGGCCCCACCGAGCAAAGCAAGCGTCAAAACACTAAACCTAACTAAACATTTACCTCCCATATAAACTGGGCACATTTTAAAACTGCGGCTTGAGGTCTAAATCCGCGACACGGAGTTTATATATAATCCTATATCTTCTCTGCTGCTAGGTGCGCTGCCTCCCTAAACGCCAGTCTAAACCCGTCTTAATGTCTTGCACTCTATAGGCGCCTATCCACGTCTAACCCAGGAAGAAATACAGAAAGTTTAAATAAACTCGACAGGCACACCACGTACGGGCTTCCTCTCTGGGAACGCACACTTAATCCACCTGCCTCCGCTTTCAGATCTGAGTCTTTCAGCTTTCTTCGTTAATCCACTGAATGCCGTAATTTTCCTCACTTTATCCAATGCGCACTCATCTTTGTTTCACCCGTAGTTGCGGCTTTGTCCTTTTCAAACGTCGGCTCTTTAGTACGGTCGGATACCGCCCAAGGAATACAAGATGTGAAAAGTAGAAGAATTACAAATGTGAAGGTGCCCCCTCAAAGAATGTTTTTCGAGGCACCGCAAACGATGGCGCCTGTGGTGCGATGGGTAGGCCAACCCGCCAAGCAGCTGTGTCCTGCTGGCAGCCCGCCCTGAGCGCCAGAGCTCTTGGGCACGGCCAAGGCAACGGTCAGCAGGCAAGCCAAACAGCCGCGCAGTTCACCTCGGGGAACGCTCATTGGGGGGGCACCTTGGTATAACATCAAAAGTCGGAAATCTGTCGAAATGCTATCGACACTGAAGGAGCCTAAAGGATAAACTGCAATCGCACTGTTCTCTTGACAATTTTCAGCTTTCACATATGCTTTCTTTCCAGCAAGGTAATTGACTATGTGACAAGTAGTGTGCCTCGGTAGAATCAATTTCGCATATCCTTTATAAACAAATGTGCCAAATAGAATTTCAGAAGTTCTTATAACCATATCAAAGTCATAAAGGTCCTAACTAGTTTAATGTTATCTCTATGCAAATAATTTGGGCACCATATCTTTAAAAGTGTAAAGCTTGATAAAAATTATATAAATTAATGATATTCCGGATGTGTTGACATCAAGTTTTCTGTTACCACTTACTTTTTGAGGTCAAACCTCATCTAATTGCATATCCCAAATTATTTTACTGCGACGGTCGTACGAAACATAATATATGAACATAGTTCATCCCGATTATTTCGCATCATATAACAAAAAAGTATGTTACAGTCCCGTTATTTTCCTTATCTGTTTATGTAGGCTACTGCTTAGAATTCGCGATTCTCCTTATGATTTAGTCTCGCTCCGCTATCTGATGTCCGCTAAAACGACCTATCCCCTCCCTCCTCCATTGAAGCTTTGTTTGAGCCATATATTGTGCAAAATATATATCTCTATGAAATGTTGAAAGTATTCTGTATGTCTGTGTTTACGAATGAAATAAACCTCTGTGGTGAGAGATAAGCTCAGCTTTTCGTGTTCTTTCTTCAGAAATTCACGTAGATAATCAGACTGGCTAGCTTTAATAATGCACGAGAAATTATGGGTGTCGTACTCAAACCTCAAATCTATGTGGTTTTAACGTGCCCATTCGAGTCGTTTTGCATTATTGTTAATGTGAGCAGATGATGCAGAAAAACTGCTGGAGTAGTGAAACTCCACTGATTTCACACGTTCGCCAGTCTGTTTATCTGATAGAGTTGCTAGGAACCGGAGGAGGGAGGGTAACGCTTACTAACATTAGGCAATTTTCTCTGCGTTCGGGATGTCCAAAATGCTCCGTCAAGTGTCATTTATTTGTTATCGCACTGCTATATATATGAGTTCGCTTTTGTGCAAGGAAACGTAGTGTCGGATGCTGTGAATAGCGCAAGGCTTTTCTGTCCCGCTCTCTGTGTTTACAGGTACGTTGTTACAAGACATATTGTGTTTTCGTCTTTCACTAATTATTACAACCGTAGAAAATACACGATCCTTGGAATCGGAAGTCAGCATTTGGACATCCCACGTTAACTTGTCAATGCATGAGCGTGGTAACGAAGATTGCCTTTATGTTGCTCATTACCCTCCTGCCATCCTTGTTCCTACACTGTAACAATCACAATCCAAAGCAGTTATATGGGGGACTTATGTAAGCCCTACCATGAAAACTGGATTTGGAAGTGATCCACTGCAAACCCTATCCTATTCACTCACATCACCTACCTAGCATGTACATATTACCCGAAGAACAGGCCAGAAAAATGTCACTACATCAGTGGTAACATGAACGAGTGCAACTACACAGTAAATCAAGCCTTTCTGTATCTGGTCTTGCTGCTGGTCAAACTACTTTCTGTCACGGAGAGGCATGAACGGGTCACCTTTGCACAAATCACCTGCACATGAGTAAATAAAAGAGAAGATTCCGAAACAGACGTAGACGTCCATGGCGCAACGGTTCCGGCTCACTATTGTCACCTTTGCGTCATTCCAGCCTTCGTGCGAGACTCGAGAACCATCCTCTGCGAGGAGATCCCGCATCTTTAGGATCTTTAGTCAGTTTCGCGCGAATGTCAGTAATTGCAAAGCGTTCCTGAGAAAAACTTTGGCAGCGCTGAAGAGAACAACAAAAAGGAGAGAGCGCCAAGGTATGGCAAACGTATAGGCATTTCTCTCTTTTCGCACGGTGGTTTTTTAGCTGTGTTTGCGGCGTTTGTCGCCGGTAGGTAGGTTATTCCTGAAGATAGCCTTAGAGAGTTAACAATATGAAAAACCTGTCGAAGAATAGTTCTGTTGAGAAGTAGTTTCGAAAGAAAAGTTCTGAATTAGAACATATATTGTAAAGTACTAGCCGAAAGAGCACTGTAAAGTTTTCGGAGGGAAATACTTTATCAGTTTCTCAGCAGTAGAGGTGATTTGTTTTAACGTATTTCTTATGAAAACGACAGTTACAAATTTACTTGTTGACAAAATAATATTTCAGATTAGTGCAGAGTACGTATGTATACCATTTCGCTAGAGTGACTAACTACTGTGTCGATGATATTTAGTGTATAAATGTAGACGTGAGTCATATGCAAATAGTAGAACCAAAACCACTCAAACCTAGCACTGTGTGAATATATAATACAATAGACAGACATTCAGAATGTCTGGCGGTTAAAGTGTATAAAATCAGACTATTACTTAGACTGCTCCAGATATTTGTTACCCTCCAAAAATATTGTTAGTAGTTATGTTGCCGTAGATATAGATAGTCTCTTCAAAGATGACTTTGGAGAAAACGAATGTAAAGTTTAACCCTCTATTTCCACGTAGAATACAATACATATTTAATCATACTGATTCAGATAGACAACAAAGATAGGTAGATCAACTATTGGTGAAATATAGTTTGTCAAAATATAGTTTTGTACAAATCATAATATGTATACTGGATAATGAGCTAGTTACCCATACTGTGTAGTTTGTGACAATCCTATAGAGACAAGACCAAAATGATATACCAGGTGGTTGATAGGCCTGGCCCACTCCTATACACAGCGCCACATGTACGCGCACGGTTGAGGTGCGAGCGAAGCGACAGGCAAACCCACCCGCAAGCCTTCATGCGGTACAGTCCAACTACCGATGTCGACGGGGCCGATCAGCCACTTGGTGAACGTATACGTTGGAAATCCAAGTGTACGAATATCGCACACCTGAAGGTGTGTGAAAAATTCAAACACCCGCAGGTGTGCGACAATATTTTCTCACACCTGTAGGTATGTGACATTTGTGCACTTGTATTTCCAGAGTAGACGTCTTCTCAAACAGTACTATGTACGTTGTTCGACACGACGTGTTGACCATTTTAGTAGTCGAAAGGACCCTCAAAAAAATAAAAAATAAAATAAAAATGAGGCATTCTGCAACGCGTCGCATTGAGTTGCGGTGGTGCGCTCTCGGTGCTGACGGCCCCCCCTCTGCCCGCAGGCGGCGCCGGACGACCACTCGGCCGTGGAGGAGCTGATCGAGCACCGCTGCCGCCAGCTCAGCCGCTCGGCTGGCTCCAAAGGCTCGGCGCTGCACTTGGCGCGCTGGATGCGCGGCCAGCTGGGCGTGCTGGAGCAGGGCGGTGAGGACCAGCCCGAGCCCACCGAGCTGTGGAGCGTCGACACCCTCAACCGGCGGTCCGAGGAGCTGCGCCTCACCGCCAGCGCCGTCATCCCGCTCCGGGGCGGCAGCCGGGCGAGCCGCGTCGAGGACCTCGAGCTCTCCGAGGACAGCCTGGGCCGCAGCCGCAGCAGGAGCACCACCGACAGCCAGGTGCGACAGCTGCCTCAGAAACACAAAGCGGTAACAACGGGTAACAAGTAAAAAGATTTAAAAAAAACAACGGCAAACGTAATATTGGTCAGGGGAAATCTTCATAGAATCCATGAGTAAGTTTTGTCAAAAAAAATCGTTATCTATAAAAAAATCTTTACATTTAATTGTTTAACTAATTATTATAAGAGACTTGGTATAGGCGTACGCCTTGAATGACGCGTCACACGCAGGCCGACGGAAGCGTCTGTCGGGGTGAAAATGGCCACTCTCGGGTCAACATTTTGACGTTAATGTGACGCACGACGATCCCGCTTCCGCAGCTCACCATCCGCTCCGGGACGTCCGGGGAGAAGGTTCCGGTCTGCCGGAAGTGCCACAAGACGTGCATGGCCACGCGGCCGAGCAACAACCCCTGGGCGCCGGCGCCCGCCTGCTCCTCGTCGTCGCGGGAGACGCCGCCGCCGACCTGCCCCTCGCCGTCGAACGCGTCCACGCGGCCGTCCACTATCAGCCCGGCGCCGCCGGCGGCGTCGACGTCGACGTGGTCCTCCTACCGGAAGTACGAGCCGCCGCACCTGCGGGGGGACATGTACTACCGCAAGGAGGTGCCGCGGTTCAGGGACCAAATCAAGGAAGAGGCAGAGGAGGACCACCTCCGCGAGGAGGAGCAGCGCCAGCAGCAGCAGCAGCAGCAGCCCGACCAGGGCTGGGGCCCGTGGATGCTCATGGCGGGCATGTCCATGCTCGGGGGCGCCATCTCGGGCGACCCCTTCGCGCCCGCCCCCGTGCCGCCGCCGAGGGACACCTCGAGCGGCTTCACCGCCCCGCCACAGTAAGCCTCCTCCGAGGGGTCCTTCACTGTAAATTGTAGCGTACACCGATTTTTCTGTTTTTCTTGATTTTTTGTGATTTTTTGTAATTTTTTGTCATTTTTTTCTGACTTTTCGTTAATTTTTTATGATTTTTTATTGATTTTTTCATGATTTTTTATGATTTTTTCCAAGGGTGTACACTGATTTTTTGAGTGAAGTACCTTTCGGCCTCCTCCACCGACGTGTCGTAAACGGACGACAACGCGATGTGCCGACGCTGACCTCCCCTTGCTCCCGCAGGATAACCGTGCTGCCGGCCACCCCGGGCGTGTCGCGGGCGCCGGGGATGACCGAGGAGGAGGAGGACGCCATGTGGGACGAGATGATCGAGGCCGAGCTCCAGAACAGCCCCATGATACGGCGGAGGAAGCTCGAGGTAAGGAGCAGTCCCCGTGGTGTCCCTGCGTGGTGCAGTGGCGGACTGGCCAGGGTGGGAAGGTGGGAAGGGCTCGAGAGAAGGTGCCGAGCCAAGGGCCAAAGTCCTAAGCGCGACGCCGGACTGGGGCCCCGGCTCGGGCCCTAGATTCAAGCGCCATGTAATACTTGTAAGGGCTTCTTAGCGACCTTATACCATGAAAAGAAATTCGCGCTCGCTCCGCTCGCAACATTTTTCTACGGGCCGCTTATGGAGTTAGTATGGTCACACGCCGGAAAAGCAAATATTAAATAAAGCATTCCGGTAACTCTGAAATGCAGAAGAATGCGGAGAAGAAGAATACGGAAATCGCAATGCTTTAACATGGTGACTTCCGTTTTCTTGTTCCCTGCATTTTTCTGCATTTCAGCTTTGCCGGAATGCTTTATTATAAAACTAGGGGTCCAAAATGCACAACCCGTGGGTCTGTTTCGCAGTTATCAAAGGTTGTTGCCTTTTTTTTTTCTGAAAAGAGGGTCATGTGGGGTGCTCCCGGGTGGAAGGATCTTCACTTACTCTCTAGGATGTTTCTGTGTTTTAAATGTACCACTAACAGTTGTTAAACATGTGAAAAAGGAGAGAGTAAAGTGTGTTTAAACCAGAATTAAACTGAAGAATTTTGCAGTATTAGTGATGTCTAAGTATAGAATTTACTACTTTTAGTACGGAAAAACTATAGAAAAACTACTGATTTTTCGGACTACTATAGTTTATCTACAGTTTATTTCTAGTTTTATCTGACGAAACGCTGTAGTAGCAAATATTTAAAAAGTATAGTGTTAAAAATGTTGTTAATTTTTTTTTTCTTTTGAACTTTTTTTTTATTTACCTGATTAGCTTCTTACCATGTATTATATTTCATATTAGTTATTACACTTTACCTTACGAACGTTGAAGTTGAAGCCCGAACGCTGACTGGAATTGAACCTCGGACTTTGGAGCTGAGATCCCGACACGCTGACCACTGAGCCACTGCGACGCCATAGCTCTGATGCCTCAGTATCGTGGTGTCATGCCGAGGGTCTCAGCCCGCCCAGCTACAGGTCCAACTACAGTTTAACTACAGTTTCTTTGTCATTCAACTGAAGCAACTACTGGGTTCCGTAGTTTTGCGCGTATTTTCCCCTTGTTCCATCCATCTCATGAATAACTAAACTTTGTAATGATAAATGAAGTATGTGCAACTGGCGTGCGCGTGCAAGTGCTCAACACAAGGTTGTGCACTCTTAAGTGTTCGACTGCATATTTGAATACTAAAAGTGTTTAACATTAAAGTTAAACACTTTCGCTTCGGATACGTTAAAATGTTCAAATTTTCTGTTGAATACTTCTTGGAAGTTTACAAATTCCCAGTCAAACACCTAATACCTTGCACCATGTTGAACACTACCCGAGACACTACCAAGTATGCCAGTTGCACACTTTTGTTTTCAGAAAGAACCTGGATCCTTAACAGTAGATTTTTCAAATCCCAAACGTATAACGGAACCCACACAACGCTAAAGTAATCTAATGTGAAAATAACAAGTAAATTCACCAAATTTTAGTCTAGCATTATAAAGTTCTCACCTATACTTCTCGTGTTCATATATGTTAATGTAATCAACAATTTCAACTGTGAGTAGTACCTTAGGTCTTAACATAAGTACACTTAGCAGTGGAAAGTATAGCTATACTGTAAAAATAGTAACACACTGACAGCGCAGAATTACTCGTCCCGATATCTCTGTTTAGAATGTTATTCCAGCGTATTAACTGTGTAATTTAGAATACACTTTTACTCAGTAGTTAAACAACGGATGGATACTTGTTTGTATAATGTCTTTTAACTAAACTCGCAAGTGCAAATTGGAACTTTAGTATGTAACAACATAAAAAGTGCAGTCTGACTGCAGACTAACTGTTTACAAAAGCCCAATACTGCAGTCGCGAATAAACTACAGAAATTACCGACTTTTTTCTACAGTTTAAATGGAGTTTGATGTCTTCAGATTCAACACTACAGTTTAAACTATAGTCTAAGTGAAGATCCTTCCACCCGGGCTACCCTGAAAGTGGGGTCCGTGGACATATTCCCCGTATTTGCTCCGATCCAAAGAACGTCAGTCATCAGGCAGCACCGGCGGACCCATTCTTCTAGCGACGATGCAGGCGTATATATGCGTCGGCGTAGTGTGGCGTGTCGCCAGCGAGAGCTAGTGTGTCCACTACGACGCCGGATTGCAAGACAAATATTTTTTTAAAAAAACGACAGGAGGCCCTCTTTTTAAACTAGTATTTTCAGCTTTCAAAGGGGTAACCTGCATCCTATAAGTGCCCGCTTACCCCTCCTACCCTGCGCCTTGTAAAGCGCTCCAGATAGGTAGGGTGAGGGGGTACTTTTGTAGGATGTAGGTTGTACGCGACTGGATAGACCCAAAGTCTATCCTTAATCGAGCATTTTATTTTTCCAAAGTACGGTGATGTCTGGTGCCATCCTGATTCTTGGGACGGGCGTGTGCGCTTAGGGACGATGTTAATCCAGAAACCGGTGGATACGACGGGCTCTGGCTCATGCCGGCGTATTGCGTACAGCATTCCGGTAAAGCTGAAATGCAGCAGAATGCATCGAACAAGAGAACGGAAGTCGCCAGGTTAATGCATAGCGATTTCCGTTTTCTTCTTCCCTGCCTTCTTCAGCTATACCGGAATGCTCTATTAAAACAGAAGTCAGACATGTGAGCATTATTACGTATATATTGCCCCTGGAAGGTAGGCAAAACTGGGGCCCCCTTCCAGATTTCCCACCCGGGCCCCTGACCACCCAGTCCGCCACTGCTGTGGTGTCCCCGTGGTGTGCCCGTGGTGAAGTACTCTCGGGGTCCCCATGGTGCCCCTATGATGCGGTCTCCATCGTCCTGCACCTACTGTGTTCTCTTGGTGCTCATGACGGTGCCATGACACCTTCTTGTGCAGCAAATACAGCAGCAGCAGCAACAGCAGCAGCGGCGCGTGGGTACGGCCGGCAGCGGCGCGGGGTCGCAGGACACGCTCGACGACTCGTCCTCGGACGTGGGCGAGCCGCCGTACCGCTCGCTGTCCTCGTCCTGCGAGCTGCACCGCTACGGCACCCTGGCCTCGCTGCCCGACGGGCTCGCCGCCGAGGAGGAGCTCAACGGCTGCGAGCAGGAGGACGACCAGGACGCCGCCGAGGAGGACCGGGTGTCAGGTAGGAGCCCGACGAGCGAGCACGTCACGGCCGTGGTGGAGGCGGCCGCCAGCCAAAGCAGGGGCGTCGTCCTGCTTCCTGCAGTTGGCCCCCGGTTCGGTTGGCCAGCGGTCGCCTCCACGCCGACGGCAGGACCTAGAAAACGTCGAGCGCCTGGTGGGGAGGACACCCATCCGCCTCGACGCGATCTTGTGGTGTGTCTGTTTGCACTAGTGCGTGTGCGTGTGTGTGGGAGTGTGCGTGTGCGCGCGTGTGTGTGTGCGAACAAGCGTGTGTGTGCTCTCTACACTTTTGCGACTTGTGCGTGGTGTGTCACAAAACAAACTCGTTCGTTTTCCAGGCTCACGGTGATTTCTGCACGACATTATTTGTTTTGTTTTTTTTTGGTTTTTTTTCTTCCCTCCGTCGATTCACAGAAAAGACCGCCACGCCCGTCCAAGACGCCCGCGCCGACACTGTCGTCGACGACCCCGAGGAGTAACGGGTACGCCCCCGCCGGCCCCCGCTCCCTCCACCCCTTTGTATAACACGCCAGATGCTGCACAGCATTACTGGCCATGACGTCATTTTTTGAAACCTTTACTTCCCCGCGCTAGAATCACTACTCTCGTCGTTTTGGTTTATGTTGTCGTTTCTAGCTTCCTCCTTATAGACCTTTCTGCCCCCTTCGCTTTAAATAACTGTGAACGTAAAGTGCCCGCTTTATCTTGAACCATTTCAACGCGCTTAAGTTTGTGTGCCGAACCCATTCCGAGTGAACCCCCGCCCCGTAGCCGCGCAGCACCCCCTGCTGCCCTCCTGCCTCACGTGTCCAGGGGGAAATGGGCTTCAATTTAGGTGTATGCATTCCGCCCTGAAGTTCTCGTTAAACTGCAGAAATTGTGATTGAATTTCAAAAATTTCGATATCATTTCAAGAATGTTTTGAGAGTTTTGAAGTAAATACTAGTTGACTTTTTATGAACTTCGGTTGAATTTTGCAAGTGCATTTCAACAAGCTCCAGCGAATTTCACGAAAGTTTTCGGTAAATTTTGTTTAAACAAGTTCAGAATTTGGCGAATTTGGTGTGTCAATTTGTAGACGCCTATTCCCCCTTGTGCTTAATAACCGCGTGTTGTGAACCACGTGTCCTAATGGTGCATGTATGCTGTGTGGTGCAGTGCGCTATGTGCCGCTGTAGCCCCCCCGGCCCCCGCGCGGCCCGAGGGGGTCGGGGTGCACCCGCGGGAGGGGGTTTGGGGTGCCCCCCGCCCGCGCCCCGCCGCCTCTCGACCGACCGCGCCCGCGGACCCAGGGCCTAAGGTATCGGTAGCGCGCGGCTCAGCCATGGCTCAGCGACCAGCCCGGCCCGGCACAGCACTGCACTGCACTGCACAGCACGGCTAGGGTGGGTAAAACTGCGACAGCACGTTTCATACTTTTAATATGATAACGCCCGACTCTGCCTTGCTCCGCCTTTAATCTCTTTTTATACGATGTACTCTACCAAAACGGTAGAAGTGCGTGCGACATTCAAACGCTTGAAAGTGAATTATGTCAAAATGGCTCACACAAAAGTGTGTGTGACAGTCATGTCACACGCAAAAGAGTGTGTGGCAACCATCTCACACACTTTCTTGTGTTGGACAACTATGCCCGTTTCTTCATGTCACATCTTTGTTTGGGAATGACATAGTTGTTATATCCTTTTTATGCACGACGCAATGGACATGTGATCATACACTCTTTTGTGTGTGACATTTTGGCATACACCCTTACATTTTTGGATGTCGCACACTTCTATTCGCAGAATGCTAAATGTTGTCATCGCTCTGTCTGTCGCTCTTTTGCAATGTAAAGTGTGCGCGTCTCTCTCTTTTCTTCCTAGTATCTATACAAACGCCACCCGTGTCTCTTTGTGTGCGTGTGCGTGTGTGTGTTCTATTTAGCTAAACCGGCGTATTTAATACTTGTTCCCGAGCGGCTACGTGGTTAAAAGTCGGAGTCGTTTCATTGCGGGCCCGTTGACCAAGGCGGTGATGTTGTTGCACGCAGGCCCCGCGACGGCCACGGCTCCGGGTGTTCCCGGCCTCGACGGCGGCCTCGACGTTGGCCTCGACGGCGGCCTCCCCGGGACGCTGCCCCCCGGGGCCGGCGGCGGCATGGCCTCCTCGCTGCGCGGCTGGACGGCGCGCGCGGGCGTGTTCGTGGCCGAGAAGATGGCCATCCTGGAGAGGCTCGGCGACGACTCGCTCGCGGCCGCCCTGCTCGACCGCTACCTGAGGCCGTCGCAGCCGCTCGGCCAGCCGCAGGGCGGCGAGGACTCGGGCACCACCTCCGGGGGCACGTCGGGCGAGGAGGCCTGGGGGACGCCCACCTCCGGGGGCGACATCGACGACGACCTCGGATCGCCGTTCGGGCAGGAATTTCGATCGGTCAGTATGCATACTTTTTGTTCCCCGAGACCAGATTTAAAACAGTTTTCACAAAAAGTGACAAAAAGAGCTGGCAGCGGTGGGATTCGAACCCACGCCTCCGAAGAGACTGGTGCCTTAAACCAGCGCCTTAGACCGCTCGGCCACGCTACCGTTGTGAAGGCCGCCGAGTAGAGCGCGCTGCACATCGCAAGGCTATCGCGCACGGGGGGTATCGCCGGCGCGCGCCATGCGCGGGGTAGCGCCGCATCGGGCCATAGATCGCCGCGCCGCAAGGAGTATCGCCAGCAGGGGCCCTTTCGGCACCGACTCCGTCCCCTTTCTTTCCTTGTTAATCACATATTTTTTAGAATCAAACGGAAGGAAATTCTAAAAAAA